ACGCTCTTCGCCTCTCTGATCCCTCGATTCTCGTGATCCTCTTCTCCTAATCCGAGTTACGCGTGTATCGTTTCTCTCGATAATCCCCAACGACGATCGCGTACTTCCCTTTCGATCGACCATCATCGTCTCGTTGCTCCGTGATCGCGCGACCACGACACGATGATCTTCCTTCCTTTACCCGACATCCGAATTTCGTTCAGGTGTATCGTGTTAAACGTTGTAAAAGTTCGTTTCGACGAGAAATTCCGACGATCGGTGGTTGTCGGGTGGTTATGTCCCCCCCCCCCCCCAACGAACTTTTCGTTCCAAAGGAACGAACGTATTTAAGGATCGACGAAGATCGAAATCGAATTGATCACACCTGCGTTCTATAATCGTGTAAGCACACCCTCGTCCACAACCGGTCGTGAATGGATCGCCTCTCCTTTTCTTTCGTAGTTTTCGCGTGGAAGAGAAATGTTTATCGTCACGTTGATCAGGACCTGTATTATTTCAACTCCCCTTGTAGATAATAAAGCAAATTATTTGTATTACGATTATTATTACATCAATCGCAATGGCCGATTCTATATTATTATTATATTATATTATTATTACACGATTATTATCATTGTTATTGCTTTTCATATTATAATTTAGAGATTTCACCGTAACTATTGTATATTCGCGAAGACTGAAAGGCTGTAAAGTGTAAGTATACTTGATGCGCGAGCCTGTTACACTCGCTCGTCTCGTGCGAAATAAAATGCAAACTGTGTCCATACGATTACTTCTGCCTATGCTATCTACTATTTTATCACCGAACCCCACGACCATCGCCTTTTATAAATCCAGCTCCATCCAAAGAACCCATTCGGGCAAAGAAACAAGAGCAAGGCAAAACCTTAACTCTTCGAGCTAAACGTGGAAGTAAAGCTGCGCGCTTCCACGTAATTATAGTTCTTCCTTGCAACTGCGAATTTCTAAAGCAAACAATCCTTCCATAAAACGCTACCAACGGAAACCCGTGGCCGTGTATATCATCCGTCAAGATTGTGCCAAAAAACTCGTCGCTTGCCAGCCATTCCGTCCAATCCGACCAACGTAATCCTTTCATCCTCGTCACCCTTCGCCATTCGCCTCCTACATCCGTTCCAAATTACATCCCGAGTATCTCGTACGAAGTCTTAATCATCGATAAAACGCCTCGCGAATAGGCGATACACCCGTTGTCCATTCCCCAGCGCAGATGGTGGCCATTACGAGTCATAAGATGATCCAATCCTCTTACTCTGCTAAAACGCGCAGCGTGGTAAACGCATCGACTCGTTTCGCGGATAAGGTATCCCGGGGACATTACCACGAAAAAGGGAGACTGTTCCCGGCAATCGAGCTCGTCGGTGACGACCCCCTCCCTCTCCTCATCGACAGTTTCTTCTCGTTAGGTCGTTTCCCCGGTCGCTGCACCGCTGAAAGCGATAAATCCGCGAGCGTCCCGCGGAACACGCGCGGGGTGGGCTTAAATGGGCACACGTGTACGTAATAATCCGCGCACACGTGCGAGCAGGAGGCTCTCCCAGTGGTCGTCGCGAGCAAGCAGTGAGAGAGAGAAAGAAAGAGAGAGAGAGAGAGAGAGAGAGAGAGGAAGAGGACAGGCCGGTGGTGGTCGCACGATGTATCGTTGTAGGAGTTCGCCAAGTTCCCGTATTGATCGTGTGTCCCCTGTCCCGGGTCGCGTGCGCGTTCCTGGGAACCTCGAGACCACGGAATACCCACGGGAACTGATTCCGTCCGAGCGCGCGTGTCCCCGTGCTGGCTGCTCTCTCGTCCCTTCGGCCACTCTCGACCGCGCCTCGTACTCGTCTCTCGTGCTCTCCTCTTATTTCCTGCACGGAGAAATGGAGAGAAAGCACGAAAGGGAGGCAGAGAGGGTGGTCGACGACTCGGCGAGCGAGCCACCAAGCTGGATACGCGCGTGCACGCGCTAATAAACGAAAGTGGAGGCTGAGTCACGGCAGCGCACCCTCCTACGCGGGCTGAACGAGCTGATCGATGCTGGGGATAAGGAACGCGACTCGTACTCCGCGCAACCGCGTCACCTTGCGAGCGTGTAACGACGCTTAAGTGACCGATATGACTTCTGCTCGCCCACGCGCCGCTCAATCGCCAGATACCGTGTGCTGGAGTACACGCGGCCATCGTGCAACCAAGTCTTGGAGGGTGGATTTTCTCGATCCGATGGAACTTTGATGAAACGCATCCGGAGATGAGCGAGATTAATTTATCGATTTTCCGTCCTAGGTATGCTATCGACAGGTTACGCATTGGTAACACGCTGTTCGTAATTAGTGACACAAGCGTACAAATATTTATTTCAATTTTCTCGATTATAGTATGTGACATAAATGGGTTGCTGCAGTTACACACTGCATTTTCCGTTTCCCTTTTTTCTCCTTCTTCTTGTTTCCCTTATTTCGTTACGACATAGAAGTAGTACAAACTAGTGCGCGGATTTGAAACAACTTATTTTGCTGAGAATGTAAATAGATAAAAGAAGGTATAATGTTGTGATTTGTAAATGCCATCATCGCGAAATAACACTGATGCTCTGGCCAGTGATGTTCTTCCTGCTGTAGCTTTCGTACATTTGTTCGGGAGCATTTGCAAAGTTTGCAACCGATACAACCAATACAATCAACAACTGTACGCGTAATCGCATTTCCTTTAAGCAACTGATCATTTATGTGTATACGAATGTATGTGCACGCGCGTCTGTGTATATAAATGCAAATCCTACGATGTCGTGTGTTACAGAGGTTCTGTATCTTCTCTTTTTCTCTAAACTGACTCGAAGCAACTATTGTTCTTTTTAATACGCTCGCTGAATGACGTGGTTTTATCGTCCTTTCGATTTCCTATTGTATCAGAAATTATAACAAGGTAGAGACAAAAACTCGAGGCTATGGGTAACTCGTGTTACTCCCAAACTTGACTGGTCAGGTATTCTCTTATAGAGTCTTTGTCTCTGGCAAGCCATGCCGCGTTTAATCTAATTGATTCTACGCTTTGTTGAACCGTTCTATCGGTTCCCGGTATCGGGTGTTTCTTAAAGAACTGCTCCACATCTTGGGCCTCTTTTTCGGTCACGAAATTCTCCGTGATGCATTTCACCAATCTCGAGATTAAGGAACCTCCGCCGTAACGATTAAGTAGCGATTCCCAACTCAGTTTGAAATACTCCCAGGCCATCTCCCGACCTTTGTACGTCTTCGCCACCGACATGATGGCCAATGTTGTATCCTGAGCTTTAACTTCGTCGCTCATAGCAAATTGCAAAAAATTCGCTATTAAGGACTTATATTTCATCACGCCTAGAGCGCTAAGTATTCTTTCTTTCTCCTCGTTAAAATCTGTTTCTCGATATAGCCTCAACATGGTCTCGAAAGTTTTGATTTCACCGACGGAAAGTACCGCCCGATAGACAGGGCTGCGCAGGTCAGCAGCTAACGGAGTTTTACCAGACACGTGCAATTCGAATCTCTTGTTCGCTTCTTCTATGATATCCTCGACGTTCAGTACTGCCATATGACCTAGAATAAGAGGCCGTAGAAGGGAATCCAAATGACTCTCGTCGGATTTAGGATCCCAGCTTAATTTGTCGGTAATTTCGCGCATCAGATTGCGTGCAAACGCTTTAAACGAATCTTCAAATTCCAAGTGAGAAATAAGGGCTCCGATTTTCTTTAGGCAATTCACTATACTAGACCATACGGTAAAATTTTCTTCGGAACGGAACGCTTGCATAAATTTAAGTACTTCCACGGTTGAAGCATGACCGGCTTTTACCATTGCGAACATGTCGTCCAGCAAACCCAATCTATCTAAAGGATCTAATGTGTGATCTTTCACCGCGGGAAACAAGAGATCCATTGCTTCTGGACTGTAATGCGTTCTGTAAAAGCCGACCAATCCAGGATTCAGTTTAACCCAGTCGTCCTCACCAACGTTTTCCACTCGAATCTCTTGCGATTTTTCGCTCAGCAGAGTCTGAACTGCAGGTTTCTTTGAATCCGGTTCCGAAGACGTAATTATGTTAATTGGTATACTCCACATAGTATTGTTAGGATCCTCGCTACCATCGGCTATAAATTTCTCTTGAGATAACGTTAAAATTCGATCATTGCCTTCTTGACGATGTTGAACTTTGATAACGGGAAATCCTTGCTGCTCGATCCAAGCAGCCATTACGTGACGTAATTGCTTCTCAGTGTTGCATTCCATGGCGAACCAAAAACTGTTTGCATTTGCATTAGAATAGCGATACCTTGTCAAATAATATGATATACCAACTCGAAAAGCGTCAGCCCCGACATACGAGTGTATCATTCGAATAACAGATGCGGCTTTACTGTATGAAATGTCGTCAAAAATCTCATCAATTTCGGCAGGATGATATACCGGTACCTCAATCGGATGACTATTTTGGAAAGCGTCGAGTTCTAACGCCCTGATGTGTGTATCTGTTATGAATTGCGACCAAACATCGTAATTGGGAAATAGATCACCGATGCATAAGTATTCCGCAAATGATGCATAACCCTCGTTTAGCCATAAATGCGTCCACCATTCCAGGGTTACGAGGTTTCCAAACCACTGGTGCGCCAATTCGTGGGCTATCACTAAAGCAATCCATTGCTTTCGCCCGGTAGATGTATTTTTTGGATCTACTAGGAGGCACGTTTCACGGTACGTAACTAGACCCCAATTTTCCATAGCTCCGAATGAGAAATCGGGTATCGCGACAAGATCAAGTTTCGGAAGTTGATAAGAAATCTCGAAATAGTTATTGTAATATGCTAATACTTTCGTTGCTACTTCCAGTGCGAATTCTCCTTGTTCTTTCTTCGATTCTCTAGTGTATACACGTACGTAACTATTATCCAATTGAGCTTCTATATATTCGAATTTACCAACCACTATTGCTAATAAATATGTCGACATGAGTGGGGTTTCATGAAACATTACACTCTTGGTCCCATAGGCTTCATTCGTCACTTCGGGAGTCTGCAATAAATGAACAAATATTTTGTCTAAAGTCTTATACCTATTTCATGAGTCTATTCTAATGCTTACTGTGTACAAAGAAAACAAAAAGAAATGAAATAAAACCACATGTACTGGGTGTTACTTACCATATTGGAAAGAACAGTTAAACCTACAGGTACAACTACAGTAATAACAAATTTGGATTTGATTGCTGGATCATCCCAGCATGGGAAGCACCGTCTAGCATCTGTTGGCTGAAACTGAGTTACAGCTGCATATTCAACTGTTCCATCAGCTCTGTAAACATATAGAAAATTTGTATTAGTTTCAAAAAGTCGATTAGTGCTTACCCCATCTGATAAGTCAACAAACAAAATCAGTACAAGTCAACATAATCTTTCAAAAATGGCTCATTCACAGAAGGAAAAAATCTGTGAACTATAAATTATGCAGGATATAAATTACAGCATTCCACTTATTCTATTTATCAAATGTTTAATATTTATGACAAATATTAAAATTCATAATTTTCATAATGAAAGATATGTACTTGTTCCTTATGGAATGTATGGTCATATTATTCTGAGTCTGCAGAAATTGTAGTACCCAATATATTTGCTCCTATACAAGCCCCTCATTTTATCGCTAAGTTCTCCCTCAAACTCGATGTTGAAGTATCCCTTAGATGCAGGTGACAAAGGAGTATTAAATGTGAAGGTAGCTGTTTCATTCTCCTGAGAAAGTTCAATTCGATTTACTTTTTTGATATATCCAAAAGAATCATAGTAATATGCGTCAATTATATTAAGGTCCAATGCATTTAAGATTATAGCATCTATCTCTTTTGACACCTGTAAACATTAAAAAAGAGATACATAGAATGCAAAAATAAAAAAATGACATTTCATAGATTCTTTTAGTATAAAAAAAATGAAGTGAAATATTTCAGTTATCTTATGTTCTATTTTTAACAATCATACACACTTTCACAATTTTGAGTACAAAAAAAAACAAGATAATAAAAATGTCTTTATATTTACTATTATTCAATGAATGATTACATATGAATTAGGGGTATATCGGGTACCTGAGATCTCCAGATACCTAACCAACGGGTCAAGTTAAGTCATGAAAGTTTATAATATTCAGATACCTAGATTCTTACTCCAGTTGGACAGTTATTGTGCATATGGGATGTTCATAAAAACATAAATATGATTGTTTTTAATGATTTTTCAGGAGAATTTTCGCCTAAATCTTCGTACGAAAACATATCCAAATCTGAAAGATTTATCAATTTTTCATGTACACGATGACTACCCGATTCGAGAAACGATTCGGTTACCCTATGTTACCAATTTTCGCGGACCCGAACCAACCTGACGCCATCTTCAGATACCCGAATCTTGCAAACATTCGGTACCCGACCTGAACCCGAAAATATTTCTCGAGCCGACCTAAACCGAAAATGTCGGATACCCGACACACCCCTAATAGGAATTCATCTCATATATATATAGGATATGAATTTTGTGGTTATGTTTACCATATGGTCAACATTTCTTGTCTCATCATTGGAATGACAAATTTTCAACCATCCGTGTAAACAATTAAAATTCGTATAAGTGACGTAAATTGATGGAGCTTACATTAATTTCCACGTCCACTATGCCTTTAAAGACACAAGTTTCCAAACCTAGATCCAAATGAATTGAATAACGAAGAGGCGTAACATCTTTGGACAGCCGATACTTTGACTCGTCTGTACTTGCCATCGTTCGATCTTAAATAACGATGCGAAATATTCTTAAATATCAAAATATTTTAAAACTCGCTTTAGGCTTTTCCGTTTTGCCGACTGACAGCGCGAAAGTACGCACTAACGCGCAACGTCTCAAAGCACTGCAAACGCATGCGCAGTATGCATGTTATCTACAAAGCTACGAATGAAAATGGAACTACATTAAAAAAAAAAAGAAAAATCACATGTACTGATGTCACTACAAATATAAAGGCGCAAATTTTGATTTTAAACCGTGTTCACGTTATACTTCAATGTTACTATTTTAGTTAAACTATCTTGATTTTCACTTTCGTTAATACTATCAATTTCCTAGAGGAAATAATTAATGACTCTAATTGTTAACTGATTTAACTGTAAAGAGGTGGCCAATTCTTTTTTATATGTATAAATGCGAGTTTACAGAGAAGCAAATCGAATCGGGTATTAATACAAGTTGCACAACTTGGTAATGTCACTTGTCCATAATTATATAATATATAGAAGGGAATACTGAATTATAAATTTGCTTAAATATATCTTATAATAATAGAAGGAGAATTTTAAATTAATTACGTAATCATGTTATACAAACAGTTTGTAGAATATGCCAAATAAAAACTTTGTGTTTATGAAATAATGATTTTTCTATTATTGTATAACGTGGAATTAGTAATACGATTTATCTCATAAAATAAATATGAACACAAATTTTGTGACAATTATTACTAATTAAGACAATTAAATAATAATACGAAATATAATGCAATTTCAGTATAACGAGATGGCGCTAAGCGAATATGTATAAACATACCGTCGAGTTATCATTCTAGTTGGAAACTACATACACCTAGCCTAACGTGGATCGGCCAGTTTCAGACTTTTGTCTGTGGCGCGAGGCAGTGGGGCTGTGGGAATACAGAACTTCGTGGGAGAAGTTTGTTCTCGCGGATGAGTTGTTCGAGGTAGTGGTGGCGTGCGCGAGCACCCGCCATATATCCAGGAAGTCGCGATAGAGAAATCCTGGTTGCAAAAGATACTTAGGATCCTGCTAAGTCAGGGTGTGTAAACCTTTGGTAAGGTTTAACCGGGGAAATATCGGTGGAGCGTACCACGGCTAGAGCGCAAGGCGCAAGATCTTAAGCAGTGAACGGAGAGACGGTGGTGTGTTTTTCATGGCGATCAGTTCATTAGGAAAGTATCGTACGCTACCACCGATGTACGAGATACGAGAAAGGTGAAGGAGGTGCTCGCCGGACCTGACCTGCCCGAGAGAAACACCACGAAACGTAGCTTCTCACGTATACACACACACACAGTGCGTCACCGCCCATATGTGATGTGTTTCGTGCGTTCGAGCGAATGAGTAATCATGTACTGTCAAGACAAGGGCTCGACCGCCTCCAAGAGCAAAGAGGGTAAGTTGACGCTTGCGAGATCTGACTATCACACAAGTAATTCCCCGGTTGTTCCCCCTCCTTTTCCATTTTTCCGCAGCCTTAGACTGTCCTCGACGCTCGTATACTGCTTTTCGTTTTTACATTCTCTTCGTGTTTCGTTACGGATTTTCATCTTTCTGCTTTGCACATGTGAACTCGGTAAAACACGATCAAGTAAGTTGGACAGAGTGTCAAAAGTTCCGCGATTGTGGGGGTGGACGTTAGTCCGACAAAGAGGGACAAAGTGACAGGCCAAGAGAGTGCGGTAAAGAAGGAGGCAAGGAGAGTATGTCGTTTACAAACCAGAGGGGTGGGGGACGAACAGTATGTATTTCGAAGAGAGAAACGGATCATGTACATTCTTGGCGAACCTTTTTATCGAACTTCAGTCGCGTAGACGAGTTTATCAGATGTGAGATTGCATTGAAACTGTGCATCGTCACCTCTAGTGCTACGGATATTGTAGTGCCTTTCGTTGCCGCGAAAACGTCATTCGTAGAACGCGACAGATGCGTGAATGGAGAAAAGTGCTTTTGTGTACAGGGAAGCATGCGGAACATCGTGAAACGAGATGTGGAGTCAGTAGCCACTCTAAAAATTATCAACGTAATTTATCTATCATTATTTCACACGTATAACTAAACTTTCATTAGTTCATTGACCTGTAGAAACAACACATGTGTGTTTATGCACATATGTACATTGTCCACTTATGTATGTTACACATCAGATACACATAACCACAGACATATATTTGTCAAATTTTTAATTATTTGTTGTTTCTCAATAATGGAATCGTAATATTTATAAAACTACAAGATACTTGCTTTCAGATGCAAATCATAGATAGATATTTGAAAAAGCTTCTACCACGCTTATTTAGAAACCTGTGTAATTAATTTCAGACATTCGTATTAACTTTATTCCTTTCTTCAATTATGCATTAACTTATGATTATTGCAATACCATAATCTGTTGATTATGGTATTGATGTTATATATTATTTTTTGAATTCAATTAGACACATATTTGCTCAACAGAATAACTTTGTCAATGCAGTGAACAACTGCTACTATTATCTTTTCTAATTGAGCATATATCTTTATACGGTACATAAATTAAGAAAGAATGTCATTTGCATTTGTACAAGCAATTATAAACTCTTCCACTCTACTATTTCATTGTATAAACGAACATACTTACATGATATAATCTGCACTTTATTTAACAGAAGGAAAAATATCATTATCTATATAAGAGAGACTTTTATATTCTTCTTTCTGGAAGAAGTATTCATTGATAATATTGTTATATATTGATAATACTTTATCCAAGACAAATATATGTTACACATCCCTGCCATCATTAAACATAAGATTGAGGAACACTGGCATTGCATACTGCATGATGTCATCACATATGTAATAGCCCATAATGTTTGAATTATTCTGAGTTTCTTGGTCATATACTCATATCGGTATTTAAGTTGACGCTTATCATTTTGATAAACCTATGAGGAAAAATTACAATAAGAAAAGATGTACAACAAATCAAGTGATAACAAAAGAATGTTGAGTTTAACCGTATGATAGTAAAAGTATAAATTTTATCTTATTACTAAATGATAATGAAATCAACGAGCATCTTTTGGTTTTCTGATTTAGTTGGATCGAAAATTAAGTTAACGTTGATTATAAAAGATATAGAATTGTATAATATAAATGAATAAAAAATATATTTAGAAAGGTATTTGATAGCCTTTACCTCTTATTGCACATTACATTTTTTCAGATTTCCTAATTGTATCTAGTTCTACGCCCTTTTTTAAAACTAGTCTAAGTTGAGTTCTTCTGTAGCATTTATTTTAAGGTATTTGGCGATTTAATTCAACCAACAATACATCCTGTAGAGTCCACTTTGCCAAGAAAACAGTGATATATTATTTTTCTTTAACAATTCTTAATAATATTTGCGATATTTTTCCGATCGTTATCGTGCTAAAATTATAAAATTATATATATTATTTATATCGTAATAATATTATATATATCGTAATAAAATCTTATCGTTTTCGAAATTACCTTATAATATATTTATTTATATATTTTATTACAGTGTGTCTTTAATAATTGTAAGATGTCCAACTTATTCATCATCGTTAAAATAACTCCATCTTTCTAGACCCATCACTGTATTTAACGTTGGGGGTTACAAAATTTATTTACATTCCATCGTTTCTTTTATTTGACTTTAAATGAAATTTAGATTTGTACTGTTACCATACTGATCGCTCGTAATATTTTGCAATGAAATTTAAGGGTTTGCGAGCTTTCGGTAATAATAAAAAGAAAACAATGTTTTCTTAGATACTCGGCCATGTAAATTGATCTCATGCAATCGATATTTAATTTGCGTGATATGTATCGATAGTGATAAATTTTCTTTGATTTCATTGGCACTGATAAATCGATTCTTTTCCACTTGCTTTACTATCTATCCTAACAAGTTGAAGTTTTCCCTTTTCTGCTTGATGTACAATAATTCAATTTCTAAGCTTCCACATGTTTTATACCTTTTAGTATATTTTCTGTCCATTCTCTTTCAAGAACTTCGAACTGAATTACAACAAAATTTGTTACAAAAATTTCTCTCTTATTTCCTTTCTTATATATATATTTTTTTAATTTTAACAAAATTCTAAAAATGTTTCGTACAAATGTTTCGCATTGTCGTTTACAATTCCCCTGTTTTCGGCAACCTGGAAGTAATAAATTATTAACATTATTAATATATAAATAGAAAAATATTCCATAAATAAATTTTAATTTGTAAAATAAATATTTTTGCGTCAACTTACCTCTTAATTGTCAAAATTTTGATGAATTTACCGTTATTCGAATTGACATAATATTTATGTTCGGTTCTTCAGTATTTATGTAGATATATATACATACTAACGTACTACTCATGTAATGTAAACGGTATAAAAAAAGTCGGAAGATCGGAAACAAAGAACATTATAATGAATGTTGCAACTTGGAATACGAATGTGGCGACATAAATACTTACGCGAATATACATATTACAATATGCCAATGTCTGAATTTGTATATCTTTGTTTTGACTTACAGTTGCTAAAGATTGCGCTTATTATGCACAGGGTCTGTGACAATGCGGGAGAAGAAGGGAGGTGCTCTTAGCAGAGTACAAAAGCTGAAAAAAAGGCTTAGCCACAGCTTTGGAAGACTTTGTAAGTATAACGAACATTGTTTAATGATATGCAAAATAAGTATATTATTCAAAATAGTTTATATAATAAAGAGACAAGAATGGTTTTATACTTATTATATAGAACAGTATTCTTTCATTACATAAGATACATCATAAAGAGATTAATATCCTTCTAGACCTTTTATAAGGTTTGAAAAACTTCATTTCATTATTATTGACTTTAGTTTCATGTCATAAAATAATATAACTTATTGCTCGTACTTTCATTAGAATCTATGTTAATTAAATTACTATTCTAGTATTTCTTTATGAATAAATTAAATTTTATAGTAAAGATAATGCAACGTGTAATTCTAAGCAATATTATTTTTAATTATTTATCAATAGTTTAACAATATTATTGCTTTCTTTATTTTAGCAATATCAAAAGAAGAGGCTGATGATGCTGCAAACAGGGGTCAACTGCCATATAATGGCTATTCCGAGGAGTTCCTAGACCGTTTAGAACCAAACGGCAATATACCTGCAGATAAGGATCGCCGTTATGGTAAGTGTAAAATTCAATCATTCTAGAAGATGTCACCTTATTTATTAATATATAGTACAGTTATAAATACTGTGAAGTATAATTCCTTTCATCGAGTTCTATAAATCATTATAGTGCACATTAGCACCTATTAATAAGTTAAATATCTTCTTTCTTTTATTTAATGAAATAACATGTCATATAAATGATTCTTGTAAAAGTTATTTATATTGGCATTTAATATCTGTGGTTACTATAGTAGTTAATAGCAATTAGTAATATGATTTTATTAACCTAGTACAATGTTACATTATTCAATAAATTTGTATTATATAAATTAAAACTTTTATATATTGATAAAATATTGGGGAATTGTGATTCTACGTGGATTCCTATTGCTGTTATTTTAAAGAAAGTTTTAAGGACGAAATTGGATGTCATAGAATGGACAGGTGTGGGCGACCATGAGAGAGTGCATCGGCAGCTTTCCGTTTCTAGTGATTCCAAGCTTCTCGACGAGGATATACGTGAAGAAGCGAGAGTGATTTTACGACCTCGACGTCCACCACGACCCAAGTCAGAGGTTTTCCTCGGGCCTGATCCACCTCCTAGAAGAACTAAGAGATTTTCAGCATTTGGGGTAATGTCAAATACGTGTACTTAATATGCTTATGTTTCTTCGGTATCTTGATATTAAAAAGTATTTATATTTATGTTTACAGGGAGATTCGCCTTTTGGTAAATCTGAAGCTTATATAAAACTGGAACAATTAGGAGAAGGATCATATGCCACAGTGTTCAAAGGCTATAGTCATCTTACAAATCAAATGGTGGCACTTAAAGAAATTAGATTACAAGAGGAAGAAGGTGCTCCATTTACTGCCATTCGCGAGGCAAGCCTTCTTAAAGAATTGAAGCATAGCAATATCGTTACCTTACACGATATAATTCATACGCGCGAGACTCTTACCTTTGTTTTTGAATATGTTCATACCGATTTATCTCAATACATGGAGAGGTATGGAAGTCAAAATGGTGGTTTAGATCCTCGAAATGTTAAACTGTTTTTATTTCAATTATTAAGAGGATTGGCGTATTGTCACCGCAGGTAAAAACATACATGTAAATACACGATTTTCAGGCTCAATATTAATAATTAATTCATTGTATATTAATTTAGGAGAGTATTACATAGAGATGTGAAACCACAAAATTTGTTAATCAGTGAAATAGGGGAACTCAAATTAGCTGACTTTGGTTTAGCGAGAGCAAAATCTGTACCGTCACATACGTATTCGCACGAAGTTGTGACATTATGGTACAGGCCACCTGATGTACTTTTGGGTTCTACAGAGTATTCTACCTCGCTTGACATGTGGGGAGTAGGTTGCATATTTATGGAGATGTTGACTAGTGATCCAACATTCCCAGGTGTACGCTGTACGTACGACCAACTTGATAAAATATTCAAAGTATTGGGTACTCCTACTGAAGAAACTTGGCCCGGTGTTACGCACTTGCCAGGATATAAACCACATAGACTGGTATTCTATCCTCCACGAAAATTGGGTCTTTCATTTCCTAAACTCTATGATGTTGCCGAAGCTGATAGTATGGCATCGTCGCTTCTACAGTTAAATCCTGATCAACGGATAGGAGCTGAAGAAGCATTAAGGCATCCTTATTTTGCCTCTCTTCCTAGAAAACTATACGAGTTGCCTGACGGTAAGTATACATTGCGTATAATTGACAAAGAAATATATATTTTACTGAAACTATAATTTACCATTGATCAATTTTTATTTATTTACAGAAGTATCGATATTTAGTGTTGAAGGTTGTCATTTGTATACAAATTCGAAGCACGGATGTGCAGATTCGCGTCACACAACTCTTAAGACTTGAGATTAAAAGTAAACGTAAAGAAAAAAAAAAAGTAAATACTAAGTAATTCCCAAATTCACATGTTCAGTGAAACGTTCATTCTCATACAGATCAGATTCACACTGACAACATTGCCTTAATTGACCTACACATTATTTCCACGCGCGTCAATCGCTCTTTCTCAGGGCTGCTCTACAAATTCCAATCATCCTTCACAACAAATACATACACGACCACAAACACACGCGTATACATAATTGCGACATTCGTATTTTTGTTTTTCTTTCTCTCTTTTTTTCATTTTTTAAGACTAGTATACACATGTATCAAATGAATTAACGAAGATAAATTATTAACTGGCGAAAAAAAAATACGAAAGTAAGCTATCTGTGGCTAAATGAAGTAAAACGATTTTATGAGATTCGCACGCTCGATTTAGAAAGCAAAAGCACGCACGACCCATCCTCGCACTTCGTCCAAATACTAGATTTAGATTGATACCAATCAAAAAAAAAAGTACTACACCGCCTTGTGTCTCTCGATCCCAGTCTAAGTAAAGTCTGGAGATGGCGGTTGCTGGTTAGAAAAAATATAATAAAATAATTATAACTTAGAAAAATTCTGGAAGACCTGTAATACTTTATATAAATTTTATGCTGTTTTTGACTCTACCGTTGGTTGCTGAGACAATTGAATATATTGGTATGTAATGAAAAAAATCATTGTTCGAATTAAAACTAGTTGTTAATTATATGACGTGATGATAGGAAATAAATAGAAGTCTAAGGAAATGAGATATCAGTACGAATCAAGTGTCGTAGCTACCAACACTATGAAACACGGCAAGACTAACGAAAAAATCTTATCGTTGATAGTATCGACGGTAGTGATCTAGTTGTAAGAATTAATATTAGCATGCTAGCGTCGATCAAAGTTCATTATCGACATTTACAAAGTAGTATCTATCAATGATAGTAAACGAAGAACGAAGTAATAATTATAGACGTAATCAAAACCAATTTGTTCAATCGCTCATATACTGAACAGCCAATGGTGCTTGAACGAATTGTAGGAATAAAATGTTAATAATTTCGTATTAGTTATTTAGAATGGATTGTTCGGCCAATCATGTTTCTGAATGGTTATTAATGACCATATATCTAAACGAACCAACTTTAATAACGTTGCAATAGTAATATAGGATAATATAAAACGGTGTTACAGTCCTTCCGAGTTTTCTCTAAGGTACGATGATTATTACGGTAAAATATTACTCCTTTAGTAGTTACATTTATACCGATTTTTCAGCACACTTATAAAAATATCAACGAGGCGAAAACAAAAAAAAAAAAAAATTAAAAAAATATTTCGAAAAAATTTGAGACACGTTATTACTACTATTATTACTTATTAAAAATTATTATTTGAAAAAAGACGCGCAGAAGGTAGATTGTATATAGAACAACAGGTTCGTATTATTGATGACGCTGAGATAGCTGAGCTGAGACTAATAAATGTGACTTTGTAATAAATTAAAGCGTAGTTCGGTACACTTCAGACCCTGTTCTTTGTTAGGTTTTCCATGTGCAACAAGTCACAGGATCGTTTAGACTTTTAAGTGTAACATAATGCAAAACCACTTATATCTGTAATACTTGTTCTGCTTAAGTATTGATTTTATACACATTTATTTCCTTATAATTATATTTTATTTGTAATTTTTCTAAGAAAGCATTGATATTCAAATTGCTTCAAACTTGTACTGAAAAAGATAAAGAACTATGTTTTTGAAGTACATGTGTATGTTGAAAAATTTATACCTTATATATTATTCGATGTAGCATGAAATTGGAACCTTTAAACTTTACAAGTTATTTCAATATTTTTGAAAAAATTACATTTTATGTTTCACAATGATACCCTATAATACAGAACTTTTACAAAACTAAATATGTTTAATTTTATCTATTAACAAGTGTTAATTATGCATTATTTAGGTGCTTAAGCAATAATTTGACATAATTAAATTTAATAATGTAATATTAATTACATTAATTCGTATTCATTTTTGGTTTACAAACGGTAATATACATTCTTACGATAGATTTTTAAGAATTGACGTATTCATAGTTGCCAGTTCAAAGGCGCTAGTTTACTGACATCACGGAGGGTAACATGGCTTTGTTGTCATCGTAAATGATGTTCTATGTTACGTAGAATCAAGTGATTTCTATTAATATACTTAATTAAATTAATGAAAGCATGACACGCGCTTGAGTGGGTTACTATTTTATTCATCAACCTAGATGGACATGTTATTCTCTGTTAACGTTCGAACAAAGTGAAAGCTATGGCTGGTGCTGTACAAGAGGTTAGAGATCCTCTGTCTACAGACAATAAAGGTAATAATTATAACTATTTCCCAATAATGAATTTTGTTAAAAAATATCCTTACACTTTATATTTCTTATAAACAATATTTGTTTATTATACAAAATCAAAACTTGAATATAAAAATGGACTTTTAACAAGTCGAAATGTGTCATTGGTGCTCACAGAATGTATACACGTCATCGATAAGTCGGAGAAAAATTCTCGCATATTTATTTTTAATAGTATAATGTTTTTCTCATGAAAATGCTTTAATATTGGATATTTACTTATTATTTTAGGATGTGTAATTAACAAAACAACGATATCTTACGAGGAAATCGCTACTAAACTCTTAAACGAAAAGCTTTTATTAACGGCCTTGGAATTACACGCAGAATTATGCGAAGCTGGAAAAGAATTACCTATTTTAAGAGAGTTTTTTTCAAATCCAAATCACTTTGAGAGTCAAAGTATTAAGCCAGAACCATACACTCCTATGCGTATGTACAATGTTATGGAAGTTAATTGTTTTATTATAGAAATTTATTAACAATTAAACTGAATAAAAAATTAATAAAAAGTCAACACAAAAATGTAATGTTAAGATAAGTTTTTAGTGCTATATTTATGATGTCATAATTATCTATTTATTCCAAAATGATTAATCTGAAAAAAATTAGAAATAAGCGATGAGATATTGAACCTTGTTTTATTTATATTAATTACCAGATGAATTTTATTTTCCCCAAAGTTACAATATTTTTACTTGAAAGTAAATTAGCAAATTTATTAAAGTACTTTATGGTATTTAGCACTTTAGTGCTATATGCGTAAATGTTTTAGAAATATGATTATCTGTTCAATTTAAATGTTTTAATTAATCTTAACATTACTGATCATATATGACATTTATGATATCACTAACAAATCTGTTACCAGTTATCATATTTATGGCAGTCAACATATTATTTATTTATATATTATACACTTTAAAGTGAATTTTAATTCATTAGCTAGGTCTTCTAGTCAGGCTACTTTAGACTCGCTTGATATGACAAGATATTCAGAGGATGGTGCAGGTGTTGATGAAAGAGTAGCAATTTTAGAATTTGAACTAAGAAAAGCAAGGGAAAGCATTTCTGCTCTTCGTGCAAATCTCACTGTAGTAACAGGTTTTTTTCATGTTAACTATTATAATTTGACAATTACAATCATAGTATATAAACTAGTATTTATTTATACATTTTAGAGTCAGAAGGAACTACACCTGATAAGTGCTCTGATAAACATTTAGTTAGTGAACCTCCTATAAAACCCCATGAACAAAGAGCTATAAATTTTCTTGTTAATGAATATTTGTTAGCTAGTTCTTACAAATTAACATCAATCACATTTAGTGATGAAAATGAGAATCAAGATTTCGAAGATTGGCAGGATGTAGGATTAAATATTCCAAAGCCAGCAGAATTGTTACAAATTTATAGAGAATATATGAGAGCAAATGGATATGATAAATCACCTTCTGTGAGTGTTGGTGTGCAAACAGATTTTTATGAATTAGAATCAGAAGCAGAAACAGAAAAGGATGAATTTAAAGAAATGGTTTGTTTGAAAAACCTATCTATATGAAGCATTATATTTTGATTTTGATTACAATGATTTCTTCAAAATTAGGTAAAAAAAGTAGAGGAACTTAAACAACAGGCTGCAATATTAGAACAGGAAAAATTGGATTTGCAACAGATCATTGCTACCACTAATGAAAATTTAACTCAGAATCCAATCAAGGTATAAACTAAATTCATGCATAAATAAACGTTTAAAAAATTGTTATTGTTTTATTTGTAAGTGATATCTTCTTTAAATAGCAAGCTAGTAGCGGAACGATACAAACGATAAATTCGAACTCTACTACTCCGGATAAGTTTGAACTTCTTGAAACACCAGCTCGTGATACATCGACACTAACTCAGGAAGTTGATGAAGATGACAGCGTTTCTGTTGTTGTTAGTCTTGGTGAAACAGATCCTGGAGATAAAGAATGGACTAGAATTCAGTTACCTAGGGTGGATGTTACCGAAGGATCATCTATCCTTCCAAATCCGCCATCTAGGTATGTTATTTATTGAAAATAATATATATGATATTATTATAAAAATATTTTTATAAAAAAAAAAATAAATATTTTCAGACATTTACCATTGAAATTTAAGATGGAAGTAATAGCACATTGTTTAGTAAATGTTCCAAGCCCTGTAATTTCTGCGGCGGAAGATGCTTTTAAAAATGGAGTGACACGCGATACTCTTGTTCAAATTTTAGCACAAACGTTACCTCGCATTATACCCAATGTTATTTTAAACAAACGCGAGGAAATAATACCGTTAATATTAAGTGCAATTCGACTTCATGATGATTCTGCAGAGAGAGAAAAATTATTACAGTTGTTATTCAATCTAAAGAAGAGACCTCAAGAAGATGAAAGACAATTAATTCTAGCTGGTTAATACAAATTATCATGAATATATAATTTTTTAAGTAAAATTAGTTTTTATTTATTCATTTTAATACTAGGTTTCATTGCTATGGCAAAACTTGAAAACGAACCAATGGAAGGAGAAGAAATATTGACCATTTGTTGGGAACAAAGTCAGCATAAGTATCCTGAGAAAAGGTTATTGGCTGTTGAATGCTGTTCTGTGTTAGCTCCTTACATGTCAGTTGGCATAAGAAATTCTTTAATGCTCTCTATGCTCCAGCAAATGTTACTTGAAGATAAAGATCCTACAGTTAGAGCTAGTGTAGTGAGGAGTCTTGCATTGCTGATAGCTTTAATGGATGATCCTGATAAATATTTTCAGGTATTACATGAAAAAGAAAGTTATTTAGTATTTAATCAAAAAATTTATGTACATTATATTGATAATATATATCTTTTCAGTGTGAAGAATTAGCATTAACGGCCCTTTATGATACGTCATCTATCGTTGTTGAAGTCGCATCTTCTACACTTTTACCAATCTTAGCTCAGTGGGCACTTTCTCTTAAAAGATTGCAAACACATCTATTACCACGTATAATATCCAAAGTAAAGGGTCATTTAAAATCTGGATATTCTCAGCACTCACCTAATAAAGATCATATAGACAAAGGAAGAATAGTATCATCAATTGCGGTGTTACAATATTTACTCCCACATATGGTTATTTGCATAGCAGACACCGATTCGGTTAGAACTTACATTGAGGATGGAATATCATCTGATTTACGTACGTACATCATAAATTTGTATCAGTACATAATTTTAAAATAATTATACTGTATTATATTTTACTTATGCTTTGTTATGCAGCCGATGTGTTCCTGAATCTGTGTCATTCCAATATCGTTAATCCGAAAGTATTTTATGACGGTGACGTAGATATAGGAGCTCTTCTTAATACGTTTTTTGCAAATACATGGGAGAATGATTCATGGCCAGAATTAGAGTGGTTTACAAATAAATTGTATCTCATTTTTTTTCCTTATAAGCTTTTAATCAATACTTTTATATATTTATGTTTAACACTTTCAGAGTGTTGGACATTTTGGAAATGGTCAAATCTATCGATATCGTACAAGAGACTATTTTGAATGCTCTTCTAACGTACATTCATTCTTTATGTTCGGGTTTTGGGCGATATATTACGCAAACACGGGTAAATTTGATATTTCAATTACATTTAAATGTTATGTTATAAATAATCAACAATCTCTTACCTTTTAGATTCAGCCAATAATTGCATCTGAAGTAACTGAACTCGAGCAACAATTAACGACTTTGGCAACAGATAAAAAAAATATGAGTTTAACGTTAATTCCGACATATTTAATTATACTATCGACTTTAAATGGTATAGATGTTTCTAAGTCCTTAAAACAGTTCCTTGTTGCTTTATCTATGAGTGGCACCAGTATTACTAGTTTACAAATTGCAATCATTATGTTATGCGCTCAAGAACATATGCAAGAATATGTCCTTAGTGGTTTATGGGATGGTTAGTTTCATCGATAGTTTTAGTAGAAATTTTTTCTTTTTTAATTAGAAATTTAGTAATCAAGTTATGTTTTCCTTTCATTTTTTATAGGGGTAGTACATCAAAGACCCATCGTAAGATGTGCAACCGCAACATTATTTGGTTGCGTAATAGCTCACGTTTCCGATCGATTAGCAAGTGCTAAGGTAGTTCCTGCAATTGTAACGCTCGTTAGTGATCCTGATATGTAAGATATCTTTGTAAATATGTTATCTATTTTATATTAGCGAATTTTACTTACATTTAGAAATTCAACAAATTCAGTTATCTATTTTGAAACAGACATGCTTAATATGCTCGTTCTTTACTTTTAGAACTGTTCGGTCTGCTACAATTCCTTCCCTAGGTCATTTAATAACGGAATGTAAAGTAAGAGAGATGCGTGATAAAGCACGTTTAACTTTAGAAACCATTGCTAAAGAACCTCAAGGTATTCCGCCTACTTTAGCACTTCCATTCGTCTCAACGTTAGCATTCATTGCTCCTAATTGTCCCCAAAATTATATAGAAGATGGTAAATTTTTATTCATATTTACGTTTCCAAATATTTGAAAATACATGAAATTGACATTCTTAGTTTTGTATAGTTATAGCTACCCAATTAATGGGAATAACTTCAGCAGCGTTACATCAAGGTCGTAAGGTCGAGCTCGTTACTGCTTTAGTCGAAGCATATTCTGTTTTGGTTTATTGTCCACTGAGTAATCAGTGTGTTTCTGGGGTGTTATTACCAGGACTGAAGTACCTTGAGCAGTTGGTTAATCAATATTTACCTCAACAGAAGGAAGCTGTTCGATCACTTTTACGAGAAGCAGAATCACGACAAGATCTTTCAAAACCAATGGAGAGGTAAATATATAACTCACTAATATATACTATTTATTTCAGAAATAATATTGCAGTGGCTTATTTATTGTTGTTTTTTCAGATCTTTATCAATGAGTTCTGGTCTCTCATTATCAATGGCCACGGTAAATGTGGGGCAAGGTGTAGAAGACATGAGACAAAGAGTGAGCAAAATATTTCAACACAAAACTAGTTCACCAAGTATGTCTAGTATTTTTCGGAAGAAATAAGATCCTTTTTTTTTATTAATATTTATAGAGAAATATCACTTTTTATCCTTTTCAAAATTTTATATTCTTTTTTTGTTTTCAAATATTGTTTGTTTATAACATTTGTTGTACTTAACATATGTTATTGTATTGTACGATTAATGGTACAAGTAATGCACAAAATTTATACGAATCAGAATGTAATGTTATATAAATATTACTCGTTATAATCAGGATATAATATAAGTTTGAAGACGAATATTATTGAACATCGCTATAATGGTGTGCCTTTTAAGATGTAATTTTAAATTGCGAAATTTAATTCTTCTGAAGATGAAGATCAAATTAATACAGAACAAAAGTCAGTAGTATATTAATTTCGATTTTTAATTGCACAATTAAGTATAACATTAATTAGGAAGACAATTATAACGCTTTATATAATTACTTTTTTTGAAGTATTAAAATAAGTGAAGTGTTATTGTAGGTTGTTATTTTATATTTTGTGAAATTACGATATATTTATTAAAATGAATCTCAGCACTTACTAATGTAGATAGCTTATGTATTGTATAACATTAACGTGCTCTTACTTAAAAAAAAATTTCAAATATATCCTGCCATAATACGACTACGAATTTAAAAGTAAAACTTTAAGAATATTTGCTATATTTTAAATTATAGAAACGTAATTATAGGTACATTAACTGTTCGAGAAATCGGTTGTGATTATTAAGCGTTGAATGTCTGTAAAGGCAATTTCATTTTGTATTACTGTTTGATATTATGAAGCAAATTAATCTTTATTTTTATCACGACTAAGAATTTTGTGTGATACCATAGATCTATTACAATTAACGTACGTGTATATTTGTACTTAAATCAATCATATAAATATAAATTGGCAATGCTGTTTTCTTCGCTATAAACAAATGAAAAAAGTTAATCAAATTTATTTAAAATAGATCATATCTTGTAAGAATATTTTATTGTATCTATATATATATACAATTACATTTCCCGTATATACATATATGTTGATACACAGTACATGTATATAATCCACGTATACGTATATATGTATATATGTGTGTATGTACAATGATCAATAATTTTCTTTGCTTTTCATGACCAATGTATCATTATTTTACATACATATATGTATATACACGTGTATACACGAATATGTATTTACGTTTATTAAATATTAAATACTGTAGCTTGTATTATTACTGTGCAAAGAATAAATTTTATAGTATATTTATTCTAAATGCATTGTCCTAAACATGTTCGGTTTTCTTAGACATATTAGAAACTCTGGTTACGTTTGTATGATTCCGTGACTCACCATTAGTTGGCCATACACGCGTTATTATAATACAACGCGCGAAACATTCAATAGCCCTCAAATTATTTAATCGGTACCCTGAGCAATCTAGGTAATAAGTCTAAAACTAACTTTACTTTGCATAAACAATTTGTCCCGCCATGGTTCGCAATTTTTACGCGGGGAAGAGAACCTGTGTACGCTTACGTCTAAGAAACCTTCGGTGTAATATACTATTTACATGACTTTGAATTTCAATGTGATACTTCGAAGGGGAGGAAAGTTTTACGGTAAGCTCCACGCAAGTAACAACGATATGAGTGTATCTGTGAATGAAAATACACGCTATTTCTCTTTCAGTATGCCTTGTTATTTGAACGAAACAAAAATTATATCACAACTATCGTATGCGTATGAACTTGGTAATAAATAAATTAAAGATCAACTACCATCTCTATTCCTTTTTGTGTTCTTATAAATATATTCATATGTTTGCACTATGAAATCTCGTATTAGAAGAACAGTTATAAAAAATTTCAGTTTTCGTAAATTAAATCGTAATGAATAAAAGAAAACTCATTAGAATTCAAGTTAAATAATAAATACATATTATCTGTTTTTCTTATTTTCTCTTTTATTCCGGACTTTAACGTTTCTTTCAAAAATTGACTTCGTTCGTATGAAAAGTTTGCTTATTTATCGAAGAAACGTATCCGCGCTACACAAACACCAGAGACAACGATTCGCTGGGCATGACTTTTTAGTAACTGCTATGCACTCTTCTCGTTCCGTATTTCATTTCCTTTGTTCTCACGAAGACGACATTTCTTGCTTCGTCAACGATAATAATACTAAATAAAAATGGCTATCTATTCGTTGAGAGGGTAGTAATATCAGCAAGAATGGAACAAACTTATACAGGACTAACACATGTCTGGTTGAGTAGTGGCCTGCTACAGACACGGTGCGTTCTGTACCTTCGATGAGCATGGAACGAGTTAATGAAATACTCTCAAATATTTTTTTTTTTTGCCTCAGGATTTCCAATGAATATATGAGAGTATTCTGTTCTTGCTGCTAATGCAGCTATTACAAATTCTGGTTAAACAGAATCACAGGAGGAAGAAAAAATAATTAATCTTATCAAATTCAATATAAAAACTTCTTTTTAAATAAAACTTACCAAAATTTACTGTCGTATCAGCAAAATCGATTTTTGCATTTTGAAAGATTTTATCAGATTCTTCTGCAGGCATATTTAATGACAGCTTTAAAGCTTTCCTTAATTCCATTTTGTTAATATATGATAATGATTTTGTACCGCACACCTGTCAATCATGATATAATATTTTAATAACAGGTAAATATTTTACAGATTTTGTAATCTGTATTTTATTAGTACTTACTTCAAATGCTGTTTCGATTTTGTCTAGCTCCGAGATTGCGTTCGTTGTGGCTAATACAGTGAATAAATATTCTTCTAAATCTATTTTACCCTTTCCTTGCTGAAATAGTTGTAGCGTTAATAATGATAAATTATTCATTATTATCAAGAAGTATATTATTTATGTTTACTGTGAGAACATATTACAATTGTATAATTCATGTACTTTGTATATCTATCAAGTATTTCTATGAAAATCTTATAAACCAACTTATTAGAATTACAAAACAAACATGGCTATTTTGTAAGTATAAGTGAAAATATTAAATGATACAAACCCTATCGTGTATTCGGAAGAGTTGTTGGGTAGTAGGCTCTTTCTCATCTATTCTGAGGATTTGCGCAAATTCATGCAAATTAATTTCTTCGTTAAATCTTTCTTTTTTCTTCTGAATTAACTCTTCTTCCGTTTTCGCAGATACTAAACTACAGACAAATAAAAGATTCCGTATAATTCAACTATTATAACATTTATTATTGTGCTCTTACTTTTTTTATACGAATTTTATTAATTGTAACTACATACCCAAGTTTGTTACGAAGTTTGTGGGCTTCTACTATGGTGGATGCTCGTGGTATATGTAACTGATGAGCTTTGCTAATAATTCGGCAATCGTCATACGTATAATCTGACACGGGAATTTGTAATGCCCTAAAAGATAAATAAAATTCTATTTTTAAACCAAATTATTTACCTAAAACGTAACAGTATCATTTCTATTATTTTTCCTTCTGTTATTTGATATATATCGTTACACTTATAGCAATGGATATTATACATAAGTCAAGTGGATAAGTTAAATCGTTTCTAAAAATTTTGAACACCTATCTTCTTTAATAAAATATACTCACTCTGCCATAAGACGTCGCACGTTATTTGCATAGAGCTTAGGATCTGTTTTCTCAGCTTCACTTGGTTTGTAGACGGGGAGGAACTCAATTTCACAACTACTATTGAGTTGTGTTAATGTGAGCCAAAGTAACTTTAATCTGAAATTACAATTTTTACTTAATATTGGGAGCTTTTCTTTTAGCTAGGAAAAAGGAAGAGAAAAAAGAAGATAAAAATTAACAATATAACGCTTACGCTCCAGGACCCTCCCAGGTCCACGTTACGGTATCCAATTTATTAGGATATCTGATGCAGACAGGCTGTACAGGAACACCAGGATAAAATGCACCTGATTTGAAAGTAATGAGGCACGATCGATTTGTACAAGTACCTTCAGGGAAAATCATCACCTGTCGAAGGAAACCATTATTTTAATTTAAATGTTTTATAATAAGTACTTAAACACAAAATTTTTACCTTTGTTTGCAATAAGTTGAATAAATCAAGAAAATTGTATATTTTTAAAGGTGTTATTTTTATAACAAATCTCAATTAAAAAATATTGAAACTAATAAAGCGAAATATTGACTTGTTATTTGTTACAGGATATGTTACAATTAATTGGTATTATTACTCATTTTAAATATGACAAATTTTTATTTTTGCAACCAATAATTAAGTTGCAATTAAATTTTATAAAACTAAGAATTATGTTTCAAGAAGTTTGTCTGGATCGTGGAATGAACGGTAATTAGCAATTTAACGATTATTTCATTATACTTACATATTACTAAAATACGATTTTTATTAAATATGTATAATTCGTAAGCGATATAATTCGCAAATAGAAAATTCATAATATCGAAGAGCAGATTGTTCCTTCCTTTTCTCTCTTTTAATTATTTAATATATTAAATTCTCGATATATTTTTGTTCATATTAAAATGTTTCTTTGTTAACGGTACCTGTGGCCAATCCTCTTTCGAAGTAGCCCTTTCGATAATTTCCTTGATCGTATTTTGTCGTGAATTCGGATCTTCCCTCCAAACATAGACTGGTTGTGTATAGTTGATAAGTTCTGTGAGCGCATCATAGAAAAATGCATAATATAACAAACGGAAATGAAGAACTCTTATGCGTAATCAGCTTTTTTCATGAAATTTATATATGCTGTCGTCAATTTTAGTTTGACAACTTTATGCATTATATATATTATCTTCTCTGTATTTTTTGTAGATATTTTTAAAAATCCTTTTTGACACTTGTAAATATACTTCTCACAGTTTAGAAATATATGCTATCAACGAAAAAATTATATTCTTAGACAAGCTCTAAAAATTGGTTTTGGCAAAAAGCACTTTCGATATACATATTGTGGTGAATGGGACGATCTTTAAAAAATTAATTATAGCCAAATTTATTGACTAAATTTGAAATTCCCTTCAATTAACACTAGGTTTACGGACGCAATCTGTATACCTATTTCTAAGGGCACCTGTCACATTGACAGGTAAAGGAAACCATGTGCCTTTCTTTTTAACGATTAGTTTAATTTAAAAACAATTATATATTATATTAACAGTTTTAATATAAGTTAACTAAATCTGTTACCATCGTATAATTGGAGCAACCCTTCCGTCAAACTGACGGGTTCCATAAATCTAGTGTTAATAAAAAGTACATACGAAGGTTCGCTATACAAATAATCATTAGCTTATTACACGATATCTCTTCTCAATATGCGTTGAAGTTGTTACAAATTATAATCCAAAGATATTTATATTATAAAATTTTATACTATTATATTCCTTAATACTACATGTCGGAATGAAAGATTTTTGATTAAAATACTTGGGCATCCTTTTGAGTAAAAATCGGAGTTCACGATTTTCCAATTAAAGACAATAGAGGTTTCCGAGTGTAAATTACATTACTTTAAGAAATAACGAGAACAGCCCCTCGTGGATTAAATAATTAAACAACTAATTCAATGGTTGAAACCATTTTGTATCGTTTAAATCCCTATAAATCAAGAAATAAATATCTATACCAATCCCTTATAAACTTATCGATTACATTTTACTCGGAAAAAATGAATTTAAAATTCTATCTATAGAGCCATTATACAAACCCAATTTACGTTTGAGAATCTCTGATAATCACTAAGCTGTACATTTGACTATTTACGGTTACTCCATCTACTTGATTTACCGAGTAACCGTGGTCATTAGGGCAGAGTAGCGACAGCACGACTAGCCTATCATTTATCGAGTGTTTGGTTGGTTAATCACGGAAAGTGAGCGTAAAATCGTTTCAATAATTGGCACATACTTCCGATGAACGGGTTCAGCCCTGATTCTCGTCTTACGATGATCGAAGGGAAGCCAGTTATGTAGACAATCCCGCCATCCATGAAGGTCGAATGGGGTGCGACCACTAAGATCGGTGCTTCCGCCCTCGTCGCCTGTCTGCCACGCACAATGATTCTCATTCCTCCTGCTTGGTAAGTCAGTCGGCCCATAAAGCACAGCCAGGGCACTATTTTGCTGCAGGGTTTCAATCGAGCGTGGTTAACATATCCCAATTACATTAATTGCATTCCGCAATTTCTCGCGTTCTATTTCTTTCGTCTTAAGACTCTAAAACAGATCGTTCCGTCGCTTTGAACGCGCGCAAATCTTTGCTTATCTTCCCAAGTGAATACATAACCTCGATATCTGTCGTCGTTCGATTATCGATCGATCGCTCGAACGGAGCGAATTATTCTAAGGCAATTTCACATCGAACAGCATTTAACCCTTTCGATGTTCTCTGATAGAAAATATAAGCATTCTTACACGAGTTGCACGATTTGTATTTGTCACAAATGGAATTAAATGATTTATAGAGACACTCTTACGGAAAAGGAATTACATACATTTTGCAATTTATACGAATTTTGCGATCCGCAAAGCTTGAAGCTCCCACTAGTCACGTTCCTTTCATCTTTTCTTTGAATCGACTTTCTAAGGAAACGTGGCTTACTAGGAAAATCTCGAGTAATACTAGCGACGAATTACACGACTGAAAATTCTCGTCTCTTTTTCCCCAGTGCTCGAAAAATCGCATAAATTATGGCATACTCGTTCGCTCGAACTCCCGGTTGCACATTCTACGGAAATGGTTTACAGCTTCGTTGATGCGGTTAATTAACATCAATTAACGTCTCGAACACTGTACCAATGTAAGGTTATCCTCGTTAAGAAACGATGATAACCGAAAAATGAAAGTCAACCCGCGATAATTTATAGAATAAATGAAAGTTTATTTCATTAATGCAATTTCACGAGTATCGCGTCACATTTTTCGATAATGTATGATGTGTATAGCGTTATGCGTCAACCAAGGTAATACTGTTTACGAAGTTAAGAACGCCACGAACTATTTCTTCCCGAGCGCATAGAAACATACCCGGCCAGTACAGGAGAAAACTCCGCCATCTGTGTATTTGCACAACAGTGAAACTTTCTGCTACAGCAGAGCCACGTGACATTGTAACGAGAAAGTATACAGCAGCCGTGAGTTCGTTACTCTACGAGTAATATCGACGATTTCCATGCATATGCTTTGTAAGATGAACTTCGATAAAATATTCTTTTTATAAATTAATAGGAGTAGGATAAACTTCCATGTCGCATCGTGAAGGATGATTATATATTATATCGGAGTCCCGTGATTATTTTAAAGCGTGAAATGAAAGGAAGAAAAATGGAATTAAAAAGGTTCGAAAAATGGAGAACAGGAGAACGAATATGGGATGTTCCACGCAACTGGAAGAAGCTGTATCTTTAAAACGATTAAATACAGGAGAAAATATCGTGGAGCCAAATGAAACGACATAGGACGAAATATCTTTTGGGGTTAACTTCGTGTATTTTATATAATACGTGAGTACCTATTTGTAGAAGAGGAATGATGTGGTTGAAGTACGTGGATTTGTTCAGAAAAGAAATTGCAATTGCATTCTCGTGATATGATACATTTTCTATTATTTCATTTACAATCGTGGTCTTGCAATTTTATTTTAATTTATCTTTATTGTTTTAAAGATATAGGTTATCCTATTTGCGTAAGACACCATGTGTACGAAGCGATTGGTGGTAGCATCCTCAAGCATTAAAAGTATAACAATGAGAATTTCTCGTTGTGTAACTCGTGATGGAAAATAATGCACTTCAACTGTGCTCCAGAACATTAAATAGTGTTAGTTAATAGCGTAGGTATGCCCATTATTCCACATTTTGTTAGTATAGATGTTCCCATTCACCACATATGTACATTTTTCTGTTAGCCTATTCTATGTATTTCTCCTTTTCTTTTTTTTACGCAGCTGCAAAGTATATATACATATGTACACGGTTTCATAATCTTCAGTCGATATGGCTTTTTTCCGTGTCACTACTTATGCACGTATTCATTATGGTAATGAAGTTACATATTTCGAAAAATCTGAAGAATAATGCAATTGTAAAATGTTTTAATACGTACAACTATAAAATTGTTTTAATAATAGAATCGAAGACTGACATAATCGCGATTTTTATATTATTATTTAATACAAAATTTTGATTGCTAATGTGAAAATTTTCGATTTATGAACTTTCGAGAAGTAAAAATATAAAATAAGGGAACATATGTATGTCCGTAGTGAAAGATTCAGCTCGATAGGAATAAAACTAGGGTATCTATAGTGAAATTTATAAAAAGTCGTGTTCCATCGTGTCACATTTCCCACAACAATCGAATGGCAATAGTCTTTCTTTTACTTTTTATGCAAATTCCCCGGCTTTCTTGTACCACGCGCATTAGTACCGCTTTTACTCCCAAAGCAAAAACAGAAAAACGAGAAAAAAGGCAAAGGCATTTTCCCATTCAAATGGTGCACATTATAGCTGCTTTTAGTCTTTCAACTTGTCGCAATGTTTGACACGTAATTATTCAAGGCAAATAGCAATAAATCGCGAAACAGGTAATAAAATTACGAAACAAATGTCTTTTCGCTCATTTCAGTTTCGAGGTACGATCCTCTGATATGAATAATCGCAAAGAAAAGGAAGTAATTCCACGAGATGGAACAACGACTGTGGTGTGGCTTGACAGAGCAAAAGTTGGAGACCTACATACTTCCAAGAAAAGGAATACGTCCGATCTCTGCCTTGGCGACGATGCTCGGCCCGCCAAGATAAACAACCGGAAGTGCATCGAAGAAGCTTGAATGCGGAGCTAGGGCTAACACAGGAGCAACCTTTGTCTCTGCTTTACGACCTTTGACCTTCAGATGGTGAAATCCTCCGCAGATGAACAATGCTCGCATCATCCAGCAGATCACGATTCGCATATCTCTGTTATTTCCAATTTTTGTTTTTTCTTCTTGTTTTTTTTTCTTTTTTTTGTTTTTATGTATCAAGCATATTTAAAAGACATATTCATTTATTGTATATGTATGTATGTATGTATGTATGTAATTGTTCACAAGCAACTCTACTACTTTCTACATCGTGTTATCTATGCTTCGCGATGCATGATATTTAACGTAACTACAAAATCAGTAGCATCTCGTTTACTATAATGTATATTTTGTGCTAATTTTATTTGATGATACTTCGTGTTTACATTCCTTCTCCACGAAATTAAACTGAATAATGTGCAATCTTTATGGATCGAATATCTGTGAGATCTGATAGGTAACAGCTGATTGATAACCGTTCAGCTGATTCGATATTCTTCTTTACGTTGGCTTTTTGAATTTTTCTTTTGTGGTAATCGAGATTCCACTGTGTCGAATAATTAAGTTTCGTGTACCTGTCTCTAATAGATGATTAAATTAATGTGGAAATGAAGCTGTGAATATTTTTCCAAGTGTGCATATTTCATATTCTTTTGATATTTTGCGATGCGTAAGAATGCAGTATAAAACTTCAAATACATGAAACATTCATTTTGCTAGACATGCACAGAGAAGTCCATCTAGAGTACAGAGGAAGATGTTCTAAACTAATTTTGATGCTCGACGAAAAATAGTACTACCATATACAACGTACACGTTAAATTGCTCGTTTACTAATTTCTACGCAATATAATACAAACACGATGCAAAGAAAGAAACGTTTTGTGTGTGTTTTTAATGGTTATAACACAGAGATATTACCTTCGAGACAGAAAACTATTGTTACTGGGAATCCAAAGTCTGTGCTATTGCTAAATTATTTATCTAGAACTAGATAGTGACGTTGTTACATGTAAGGAATCGTTTTTATTGATCATTATTCATGAATAAAGAAAGCTGCCAAGGAAAGTACGTTTGTTTCCATGTGTGTGATTCAAAGGAAAATATTTATCGAGGTATTTCTCTCGCTAATTTATTTTATGGCTGATTTTACCACCGACTCTAAGTATTTTTCAAAACACTATATAAATTTAAATTTAAAATAAATACGAAAAGTAATTATCGATAAAATATGAGACATAATTATTAGAAAAGATTCTATACGTGATATATAAATTACAAATACGACAAAAATTTAATATTTTTCATTTCCATCGAATATTTAATACACATATTAACCTTTCATCTTTCTTTTTTTATTTCAATTATACTAAATTCAATCTGAGAGTTATATACCTCTGACTTTTAATTAATTAGTATCGACGAATATGTATGTTCTTTTGTGTAAAGGATTTAAAGGGATTAATAATCCGCATCGTATGCTATATATAAAAATGTGTAAAACATAAAATCAATATTCTACATCTACATCGTGCATGGAGCTTTGCATTTCCAGTTAATAATAAATGCAGACTATCTAATGCCAGAAGTAAAAAGTAGAATAGCAACTAGTATAAATCATTGTATTATGCAAAAAGCTATATCGCTTGCATGCAAACGAACTTTTGCCGATAACATTTCTCCTTGCAACTTGTCCTTACACGAGGCTTTAATATTCTAAACAATGTCCACGTGTGAAAGTATTAACGAAAGTTTCGTGACACACTTCTTCTCCAGATAGAAATCCAAACAAATAACTTCCTCGAGATTGCATTACAACTAAGAGAAATACGTGTTTCTATTGCAATCTTTCCCATCGGTAATCGGAATATTTGTCAAATAGAAAAATTCAAAATAATCAGAAGAACATTAGAAAATATCGTTATTCCTTCATCGAATTGGATTCCAAACTTAACCGCAATTGTAATCGTTATTTCCTCTTCAATTATAAACAACAATAAAAAGAACAAACCAAAGGACGAAAGAAGCAACGCAGTCGATAAATAATTAAAGTAAATAATTAAATACAATTTTCTAAGATACTTCGTTAGCGGAAAAAATTCTGGAAATTTTTCACAGTCCGATTTATCGGAAAGAAATAGTAATAGCAGAAGCGTAATATGAATATTCGAACGCGATTTAAAGGTAGACCCAGAAACTCGATGCTTTCCGCGCGATGTTGGCTCGTTTCGGTGTATAGAAATTACAAAGATTAAAGGCATCGGAGGTATCGTTGGTAGCGTGATTGTGGCGAAGTGCAAACGCGGCACTTGTTGCGATTAAATGTCGTGCAACGATTGAAATGGTGACATACGATCGGAAAAAAGACAGCGGGGAAGCGTTCTAGTGGATTCCTTCGATTCGAAGCTCACGAAGTAGACGCGAACTACTTATCCGACGTGTACTTTCTCCCGTTACTTATTCTTTTTATCCGTATCCTCGGCCGTTTCCTCGCCGCGGTCATTCACGCTCTCTCCCCACTGGGCATCTTCAATCGTTTCAAGTGTGCGACCGTGAAATAAAATTTTTCAAAGGATGTCCGCAATTTATCCTCATTATTTCGTCTCGGCAATGGCGGCCGGTCCTCGCTAGGACCGCGCCTGTGCCACCGTCTTCAGCCACCAGCAATTATGGAGTAGGCTTAGCATCCGAATCGGGAATAACAGCAACTTTCGCAAAAACGTTCACGTTTGTGTTGCAGGTCGAAAGAACTGCGGTATAATTAGGTTTTTCTTCAAAATCCAGCGAAACTCCGTGATTTTACTGTTCTTTTATTGGCGTTTCACCCGCCATCCCGATCGTAAATTAATCGCTTTTATGACGCTTAAAACTAGCTCTAACCACGCTCTTTATTTTCAACTCGCATCTCGACGTTTGTTTGCCGCACAATCTAATTTTGTTATTACCACCTCGTGTCCTGTTTTCAACTGGAAGTAGCGCATGGTGAAAAATTCCTCTACGTATAAACAAACAGGGAACACGCGGAGTTAAATGAAATCGAGCTATTAAATTTGATTTACTCCATAGGAATAAAATTTATCGTTCGAAACTTTCTTTAAACCTGGAGATAAATAATTTTCGTTATTCTATCATGACTCGTGATTAGAATCTTTTCCATTAAAATTGCTGATATCCTACGTAGCTTTGCATACAATCGAAAGCATACGATTACTGCTGCCAATTTCTTCTCCGAACCATAAACACCTCGAACGCCTACTTTTCCCTACTTCTTAAACAATGTCACACTGCCCGGTGTTTCATCGCGGATGTAATTTAATTAATAAGTACAAGGTAAACGAAAGTTTAAATCGTTAACGAATAACTTACGAGTACCAAGGTAAAAAACGGTACGTACGGTCGATACGATCGACTAATATATGCAAGCGTAATTAACAGCGTGAAGCATACATTGATCTCAGAAAGCACACGAAGAAGCAAGCGGAAGTTTACAATTTCGCGTGCACAAAGATGTAAGCTACAAGCGTGATCATCGCGTGGAAATAATGAGATAAAACTCGAATAAAACGTTCAGATCGGATGGTTAACTATGGGAAACGCAGGAGAGAAAACACAGGCAACAAAAACGTAAGGAACTGGAGGGTAATGGCAGTTTCGTGTATTTTACCGTCTCCACCCTTTCAGAGGTGCACGACGAAGGTCTTCTTCGGACAATCCAAGGAGACCAAGACAGGCCAGGAGCCAGGCCATGATCACCAGAGCCGTAATTGCAGCCAGTCTGAATGGTAGAAGAGCTACCGTCAGGAATGC